GCCTCTACAAATGGCGGTATAAATACTGGAATTTATTTTTTTATACTAGTAATAGCGGAGATCAGCGACTTATAGCGGGACTGTGGCGGGCATTCTGACACTGGGGGGGGGGGGGGGGGTAACTGACTTGGTGTCACTGATATCCCCAGTGACACCAATACAGTGATCAGTGCCAATAAAAAGCCCCAACACTGTACTAATGGCACTGGGCAGGAAGGGGTTAACACGAGGAGTGATCAAAGGGTTAACTGTGTGCTGTGTGTGTGTTACTAGAGAGACATGCCATGCAGAGATACACAGCAGCATGTCCTTGCTGGCAGGAGAGAGACCCGTGTTGTTTACACACAAACCTCTCCCCTGTCTTTACACGGCGATCTCTGGCCGGGATCCAGTGATTGAAATGCCTAGCCGCCAATGGCAGCGAGGGTAGGGCAACACACATACGCGCATTCCCTATCCAGAAATGCAAATCACATATATATATTTATAAAAATTTTTGTAGCCCTGCTGCCTTGTATCAGTATTTCTGCTACAGGGCGGTGGGCAACTGGTTAAAAGAGTTGTTGGTAAAAGGAGTCAAGGTTGGAGCGGTGGTTCAAATTAATGGTTGGTAGACAGAGCCAAGGTGAAAGCAAGCCAGTCATAAGAATGGTTTACAGATGGGGCCAAGGTGAGAACCGGCAGCTTGGGAGTCTAGTTGGTAGGAGAAGCAAAATTGACAGCAGACAGTTCCGAAGAGTGATTGGTAGAAGGAGCCAAGGCAATAGCAATAGCAGGCAGTTCAGAACAGTGGTTGGTAGAAGAACTCAATGGGAGAGCAGGTAGTTCAGGTAGTTGTTGGTAAAAGGAGCCAAGGTTGGAGCGCTGCTTCAGAAGAGTGGTTGGTAGACAGAGCCAAGGTGAGATCAGGCTCAGACTGTTTGGTAAATGGAGTCAAGGTGGAAGTGGTGGTTTAGAAGAACTGTTGGTAGATAAAGCTAAGGTAAAAGCAGGCAGTTCAGAGTTGTGGTTGGTTGAAGGAGCCGAGGTGAGAGCAGGCAGTTTAGAATAGTGGTTGGTAGAAGGATCCAAGACAATAGCAGGCAGTTCAGAACAGTGGTTGGTAGATGAAGCCAAGGTTATACTGGCATTTCAGGAGTGTGGTTGGTAGAAGAATTTAACGGGACATCAGGTAGTTCAAAAGAGTTGTTTGTTAAAAGGAGTCAAGCTTGGAGCTCTGCTTAAGAAGAGTGGTTGCTAGACAGAGCCAAATGTGAGATCAGAAAGTTCAGTAGACTGGTAAAAGGAGTCAAGGTGGTACCATTGGTAGATGAAGTTAAGGTAAAAGCAGGCAGTTCAGAGTTGTGGTTGGTTGAAGGAGCCGAGGTGAGGGCAGTTTAGAATAGTGGTTGGTAGAAGGATCCAGGAAGTTTAGAAGTAGTGGTTGGTAGAAGGATCCAAGGTGAAAGTAGCCTGTTCAGGAGAGTAGTTGGTAGAAGAACCAAGGTGAAAGTAGACGGTTCAGGAGAAGTGGGTGGGTAGAAGAAGCCAAGGTGAAAGTAGACGGTTCAGGAGAGTAGTTGGTAGAAGAACCCAAGGTGAAAGTAGACGGTTCAGGAGAGTAGTTGGTAGAAGAACCCAAGGTGAAAGTAGACGGTTCAGGAGAGTAGTTGGTAGAAGAACCCAAGGTGAAAGTAGACGGTTCAGGAGAGTAGTTGGTAGAAGAACCCAAGGTGAAAGTAGACGGTTCAGGAGAGTAGTTGGTAGAAGAACCCAAGGTGAAAGTAGACGGTTCAGAGTAGTTGTAGAAAGAAGCCAAGGTGAAAGTAGACGGTTCAGGAGAGTAGTTGGTAGAAGAACCCAAGGTGAAAGTAGACGGTTCAGGAGAGTAGTTGGTAGAAGAACCCAAGGTGAAAGTAGACGGTTCAGGAGAGTAGTTGGTAGAAGAAGCCAAGGTGAAATAAAGCTATTCAGAAGAGTGATGAGTAGAAGACACTAAAGTGAGAGCAGGCAGTATAGAATAGTGGCTGTTAGATGGAGGATCCAAGGTGAGAACAGGAAGAATAATGGTTGGTAGATAAAGCCAAGATGAAAGCAGGCATTTCAGAGCTGTGGTTGGTAGAAGGAGTCAAGGTGAGAGCAGGCTGTTCAAATGAGTCGCTGATAAAAGAAATCAAGGTGGGAGGGGTGGTTCAGCAAATTGGTTGGTAGATGGAGCAGAGGTGAAAGCAGACATATCAGGAGAGCAGTTGGTAGAAGGAGTCAAGGTGAGAGCAGGCAGTTCAGAAGAGTGGTTGGTAAAAGGAGTCAAGGTGGGAGTGGAGGTTCAGAAGAACCGTTGGCAGATTAGGCCAAGATGAAAGCAGGCAGTTCAGAGCTGTGGTTGGTAGAAGGAGACAAGTTGAGAGCAGGCAGTTCAGAAGAGTGGTTGGTAAAAGGAGTCAAGGTGGGAGTGGAGGTTCAGAAGAACCGTTAGCAGATTAGGCCAAGATGAAAGCAGGCAGTTCAGAGCTGTGGTTGGGTGAAGGAGCCACGGTGAAAGCAGGCAACACAGCATAATGGTTGGTAGACAGAACCAGGTAAAAAAAAAACCGAGAACATGACTGGTAGAAGTAGCAAAGGAAGCAGATCAAGGAACGGGTTTAGTGGCAAAATCAAACTCAAAGCTCTAGAGCAGTAATTTCCATGAAAATATTCCTCAGCAAATATAAGATGCCGTCTCTCGGTAGCCCAAAGTACCAAAAGCTTTATGAGCAGGAAAATCTTAATGATCACAACAAACATGGACTAGATCTTTATTGACATGTATTTTGGTTCCTGTGAAAATTCTTTTCAGTTCCAGTTGTGGTTTTAGCTTTGCTTGATCCTGTAACTCCCTGTAATCAGCAGAAGTAGGTCACCATGGCTGATGTATGTATGAGACGTACAAAGAACAGGGTGTACGGTGTGATGGTGAATCATGCAGCCAATTCTGCTGAGGGTAATAGTCCTTTTGTCTTCCGTAAATGGCTGCAGAAGCTCCGCGGGTATTAATGAGTCTTCTCTCATTACTCATTCGGCACACACAACCGGTCTTCTGCCTAAACAAGGGAAAACTAATGATGAGTCACCTTCTTTCTAGACCAATGTGTGGAGTTCACAACCCTGCTGGTCACAGGGCAACGTCTTGATTGAAATCCGTATGTTTAGCTATGAATTTTCTAATTCCGTTCGGCAAGTCTTGCAATTCCCACTCCTTTGCTGCGCTGTACAATCATGAGTGTGACATCTCAGCTTATGGCGATGGTCTAACACACATGCGCCAAACCCTATATAAGTGAACGGCGGACGGCACGGTGTAATCGGCGACCCCCCTCTGAAGATATGTGGGTGCACGAAACGCGTAAGCAGGAGCCACATTACGCCGTGACGTCACGCCGCCGGAGCAAGGTGGAGCTCCGGCGGCCATCTTTGAAAGTGGACAGTCAGTCCTATGTTCTTTGTATGCTTACCTAAACTACTATAATAAACCTATTTAAACCTACTACTCTATGGACATATCTTTGCTCTGACCCCCTGGGGGAGCCTTTAATTCCCAGATACCCTGCTCAGGATGAGACCCATTCTTTATCCAGAGAGGGAATCTCTCATCCAGGGAGCAACGCCCGTTTAAACCCCTTGTGGAGCTCTGGTGGACATGGATCACCAATAAAGCACTAAGGATCCTGCCTGATGACCATCCATCCCTTAGAGGGAAGACTACGTAGTTCCTGACCCCCCCTTGATGACACCTGGAGTATTGATATAAGGGTGCATTATATATGCGCGTCAGGTGAGTGCGCATTACTGACACTAATACTGCACGGACACCAGTTCCAGAATAGCAAACACTTTAAGAGCACAAGAGTCACTTTTGAACTGTTTTTATATCTATGTACTTTGCATTTGAAACATATTTCCAGTTGATTTTATATTTCTTAAGCGCTGCACCCCTCTTACAGGATATCTCAGCTCGGTTTGCAGCTTCTTCCACCATTTTTTCCATATCCACCCATGAGTAGCCAGGCGACATAAGATGCTGCCAATCCTTGACCTTGAGGGGACCATTTGAATGTAGGCAGTCCCTGGCGGCACGCTAATGCAAGCATGTCAACGTTCTTGTGTCATGAATGGCCAACGCACTGCACACTACCAAACATTGGACGTGACCCCATGACTGGTGCGTGTGTTGTGGCGTGTTGTATGGTAGCCAATACCGTCCAGTACGTTGGGATAGCCAGTCACAGTAAATGATACGGCAATCCCCCATCTATTCAGCAGATGCCTTGCCTCACGCAAAGCACACGCCGCAGACCGAATATTGTACTTGTTCTGGGTCAATGACTTGATAAAATCGACTCACTAAAACCGATCCTCCGTAAATAAGATGATACATATCTGCCTCTCCTGCTGCCGACAAACGCCTCTGTAATAAAGGAAAATAGCTGCCTGGAGACTCTTCAGAAACAACACTTCCAGTAGTGCCGGATCCTCGCTGGTTCCTCCTGACCCCTGCACCGTAGCTGTGTCCTGTAGTGACATCGGGGTCGTTAGTAGAATCCACAGCGCAGAGTCCTGTCCCCAAGCGTCAATTATCCTGTATAACAGCATCAATCTGGACTTCGGCATCCAGGCCTGCTCTGCCTCCTGGATGTAAGGGGGGGCTCTGCTGGGCACATATGGATGTGAGGGGGGGGGTCTGCTGGGCACATATGGATGTGAGGGGGGGGTCTGCTGGGCACATATGGATGTGTGGGGGGAGGCTCTGCTAGGGCACATATGTATGTGAGGGGGGAGGCTCTGCTGGGCACATATGGATGTGAGGGGGGGGGGGGCTCTGCTGGGCACATATGGATGTTGAGGGGGGGAGGTCTGCTGGGCACATATGCATGTGAGGGGGGGGAGTCTGCTGCGCACATATGGATGTGAGGGGGGGACTCTGCTGGGCACATATGTATGTGAGGGGGGGGGCTCTGCTGGGCACATATGGATGTGAGGGGGGGGGGGGTCTGCTGGGCACATATGGATTTGAGGGGGGGGGGACTCAGTGGGGCACATATGTATGTGAAGGCTCTGCTGGGCACATATGGATGTGAGGGGGGGCTCAGCTGGGAATAATGTCCTCTGCTGGGCACATAATGGATTTGGGATCAGGGGGGGACTCTGCTGGGCACATATGGATGTGAGGGGGAGGGAATGCTCACATATTACATGAGGGGGGGGCAGTGGGAAGAATGGGCATATATGGATTGAGGGGGGACTCCGCTGGGCAAATGTCCCTTAATTGAGGGGTCAGGGACTGGGGCAGATATGTCCTGCTTATATGGATGTGAGGGGGGACTCTGCTGGGCAAATAATGTCCCTTACATGTGAGGGGGGGGGGGACTGCTGGGCACATATGTATGGAGGGGGGGAGGGGTCCCTGCTGGGCACATATGGATGTGAGGGGGGGCTCAGCTGGGCACAGATGGATGTGAGGGGGGGGGTCTGCTGGGCACATATGGATGATCAGTGGAAGAATGTCCCTTACATTGGGGGTCAGTGGGAAGAATGTCCCTTACATTGGGGGTCAGTGGGAAGTTATCCGAGAGGCAGAAATTCCTCAAGGAACCCCGAGCAACCTCTGGAGTAACCCAGAATGTCCATGGAACCCGTGTTGAGAATCCCAGGCCTAGACTGAGGCTGAACGGTTGGTGTGTGTGGGTGGAGCTTGTGTGACCTGCAGCCTCTGTACCATCATGGGAGTCCTGGGCACGTCAGGCACTTTGAGGAAACCCCGTATATACTGTAGACCCCAATCCTCTGTACACGATGTTTCCTCAAAGTTGCCTTCTATATCTTCAGCGTCGGTAAAAGAGTTTTTGAAACAATAACCAAAAATAATTTCGCAGGAGGCCGGTCACTGACTTGGGTGTATGGAGGGGATTACAGACACTTTAAAGGTGAACTCCGGGCACAAAAAACGTCCAGTTAAATATATTCCCTAGTAACCAAAAAAGGAGATAAATCCACCAAACGTCTTTGCAAACCCAGATATTACCTTGTAAAAGTTGACCTGATATCATCCTTGTGCAGTATATAGCAGGCAGCAGAGCTGTGGGAGGAGCTCAGGAAACTCCAGTCACTACAGGCTGCCTGCAAAAAATGAGGGGGGCGGGAGACCAGACCAGTCACCCTGCACAAGGGGAGGGGGCAGAGCTGTGGGAGGAACCCAACAGGCTCCACCCGCCACGGAAAACTACAGGAGGGGGTGGAGACAAGACCAGTCACCCTGCACAAGGAGAGGGGGCAGAGCTGTGGGAGGAACCCAACAGGCTCCACCCACCACGGAAAATACAGGAGGGGGTGGAGACAAGACCAGTCACCCTGTACAAGGAGAGGGGGCAGAGCTGTGGGAGGAACCCAACAGGCTCCACCCGCCACAGAAAACTACAGGAGGGGGTGGAGACCAGACCAGTCACCCTGCACAAGGAGAGGGAGCAGAGCTGTGGGAGGAACCCAACAGGCCCCACCCACCACTGAAAACTACAGGAGGGGGCGGAGACAAGACAAATCACCATGCACAAGGAGAGAGAAGAGCTGTGGGAGGAACCCAACAGGCTCCACCCACCACTGAAAACTACAGGAGGGGGCGGAGACAAGACAAATCACCATGCACAAGGAGAGAGAAGAGCTGTGGAAGGAACCCAACAGGCTCCTCCCACCACAGCAAACTACAGGAGGAGGCGGAGACAAGACCATTGATTGTAATTCTCTGAAATGAAAAATGAACAAAGTGTTTCCTTCTATAATGTGTACTTGCCTCAGTCCAAAGCACTGAGTGTGATTTCTGTCTGCTCCCTCCTCCCTCTGCTATCTGATGGGATGTGGACTCCAAGGAATCCAGGGGGACAGGAAGGGAAGCTCCAGCACTGGCACTGTGGTTGACAGCCTCAGCTGTGCATGTTTCCCTATGAGAGTCTGTAGACGGTTTTTTTTGTGGTGGTTTGTAGTTCCTGCACCTCCAGCACTGAATGGACTGTATGTATTGAGAAGGGGTGTCGGGGTGTGCTGGATGGGCTGCAAAGGATCTATTGTTGCTGGGGGGTCAACTATTGTTGGGGAAGGAGGTCTATTTTTTGGGGTGGGTTGGGGGGTCTATTATTAGTGGTGGATGATCTATTGTTGGGGAAATTTACTATTGAGGGGTCTATTGTTGCTGACTGCTGAATAGTCTATTGGTGGGGGTATGTTGCTGCTGGGGTGTATCTATTGTTGCTGGTGGGGATCCATTATTGCTCGAGAGGTATTTGTTCCTGGGGGGTCTATTGTGTCTGGAGGAGTCTATTGATGCTGGGGAGGACATATTGTTGCTGGGGGGATTTATTGTTATGGGGGGGGGGCATATTGTCACTGGAGAGGGTTATTGTTAGGGGGGATGTATTGTTGCTGGCTGCTGGACAGTCTATTGATGCTGGCTGCTTGGGGATCTATTGTTGCTAGCTGTGGTCTTTGCTGTTGAGGCAGATCTAATGCTGCTGGTGGGAGATCTATTCTTGCTGGTATTTTGTTCCTGGGGGGTCTATTGTTTCTAGGGGAAACTATGGTTGCCAGAGGAGTCTATTGTTGCTGGGGGGGTTATATTGTTGTTGGGGGGATCTATTGCTGCTGGTGGGGGATCCATTATTGCTCAAGAGGTATTTGTTCCTGAGTGGTCTATTGTTTATGGGAGAGAAATATATTTTTGTTGCCTGGGGGATCTATCGTTGCTGTCTGCTGGACAATCTATTAAGGCTGGCTGCTAGAGATATATTGTTGACGGCAGAGTCTATTGCTGCTGGGGTAGATCTATTGTTGTTGGTTGGGGTCTATTGTTACTGGTTGGGGGGAATTTTGTTCTTTGGGGGGGGGTCTAATGTTCCTGGGGGACATGTTGTTGCCAGAGTGAGTTATTTTTAGTGGAAGATTTATTGTTTGCCGGGGGATCTATTGTTGCTAGAGGGCATCTATTGCTACTGAATGGATCTAATGTTGCTGGTGTGGGATCCATTCTTGCTGGTATTGTGTTCCTCGGGGGGTCTATTGCTGCTGAGGCAGTTCTAATGCTGCTGATGGGGAATTTATTCTTGTTAGTATTTTGTTCCTTGGGGGATCTATTGTTTTGTGTTGAAAACTATTGTTGCCAGAGGAGTCTGTTGTTGCTGGGGAGGATCTATTGTTGCTTGCTATTACTTAACACATTCCATATACACTTGTTTGCGCCATAAAATGATACTTGGTTGCGTATACTACTGGGAGGTGGGTACGGGGAGGAGTCAAAGGATAGTGCTTGGGGGAGAGGGGAGGGGGTGGAGCAAGGGGTGACTCCAGAGAAAAGGGGAGGGGGAGTACCTATATCTGTTCTCTAAGAAAAAAACGCCCTCTGCATTTGCATCCATTTTCAAGTCATTGCTGAGCATTGTGAAGTGTATTGCTTGGAGGTTCTATGGAGGTTCTATGGAGGTTCTATAGAGGTTCCATGGAGGTTCTATGGAGATTCTATGGAGATTTCATGGAGGTTCTATGGAGATTCTATGGAGATTCCATGGAGGTTCTATAGAGGTTCCATTGAGGTTCTATGGAGATTTCATGGAGGTTCTATGGAGATTCTATGGAGATTTCATGGAGGTTCTATGGATTCTATGGAGATTCCATGGAGGTTCTATGAGATGGATTCTATGGAGATTCCATGGAGGTTCTATGGAGATTCTATGGAGATTTCATGAGGTTCTATGGAGATTCCATGGAGGTTCTATAGAGGAGATTCTATGGAGATTCCATGGAGGTTCTATGGAGATTCTATGGAGATTTTCTATGGAGGTTCTATGGAGATTCATGGTTTTATAGAGGTTCCATGGAGGTTCTATGGAGATTCCATGAGGTTCTATGGAGATTCTATGGAGATTTCATGGGTTCTATGGAGATTCTATGGAGATTCCATGGAGGTTCTATGGGTTCCATGGAGGTTCTATGGAGATTCTATGGAGGTTCCATGGAGGTTCTATAGAGGTTCCATGGAGGTTCTATGGAGATTCCATGGAGGTGAGTTCTATGGAGGTTCCATGGAGGTTCTATGGAGATTCTATAGAGGTTCCATGGAGGTTCTATGGAGATTCCATGGAGGTTCTAGGGGAGATTCTATAGAGGTTCCATGGAGGTTCCCATGGAGGTTCTATGGAGGTTCCATGGAGGTTCTATGGAGGTTCTATAGAGATTCTATGGAGGTTCCATGGAGGTTCTATGGAGGTTTCATGGAGGTTTCTATGGAGGTTCCATGGAGGTTCTATGGAGGTTTCATGATTCTATGGTGATTCTGTTCAGTTGGTCCTATGATCCCGCCCCCTCCCCCCCACACCACACAATAAAGGTCCCAGGAGACAAGTGGCAGCCCCCGTTATCCTTCTCCATAAATGACACCACACTCAATCCCCCTCCATACGTAGAATCGTTCTCCTCATTTCCCGCTCATGTTTGTGCCGCTATTCCGTCGGGTGAAAACGCGCGGCGGAACGCTGACACATCCGCGGTAAATAAATGGGAAAATGATCAGAAAAAAGCATTCTGTTTATTAACACTTACTAATGAAATAATGATTTGTTGTGCCGCTCCCGTAATCGCCTCCTGGACGGGAGTGTTGACAGCTCTGTTGCCGAGCAACCAAACGCGCCGTCCTTGGATCATGGAATACACATTTCACCGGATAAAGAAAAAAAAGATGGCGGACTGAAGCGGGCAATGTGCGTTGGCAGCGGGCGCTGGGGACTCGGGTGCGCCGGACGGACGGACGGACGGACGCTCAATCGTCTCCCATCAGCTCAACTATAAAGAGTGAAATCTGATCATTTCTTGTTACATTGTCATACTAAAAGACAAAAAACAAACAAAAAAAAAGGATCTTTATTCTTTCTGACAAAAGCTGATTTAGGCCTCATCCACATTCGCGATTTTGCCCACGTGCGTCGAATCCGGCGATTTCCGGAGGCCCAGGTGCGGCATGCATACCTCCTGCCGGCAGCCAATCGAAAGGCTGGACATTCACAATCAGGCGCCTTTCACACGCCGTTGCGGTTTTGTCGTCGGTTCAGCCATGTCTTCTCCAAGGAAAAATGGATCCGTTCACATCGGTTTGTTATCCATTTACATCTGTTTTTGTATGTTTTGATCAGTGTTTCATCTGTTTACATCCATTTTTGCCGTTTACATCCATTTACATCCTTTTTTTTATCTGTTTTCATCCATGTACATCTGTTTTCATCCATTTACATCTGTTTTTTTTGTCTGTTTACATCCGTTGTGATCGTTTTTTTTTTCATCTGTTTACATCCATTTACATCCATTTTTGTCCATTTACATCCATTTACATCCATTTACCCTTTACATCCTTTTTTTTTTTGTCTATTTACATCCGTTTACATCCATTTTTCATCCGTTTACTTCCATTTACATCCAATTTTTGTTTGTTTACATCCGCTTTCATCCGTTTACATCAGTTTTTCAATCGCTTACATCCATCTACATCCATTTTTGTCCATTTACATTTATTTGTCCGTTTACATGCATT